ATCGATTAGAGTGAAGTGCTAAAAAAAGCTCCTCTCCCCCCGCCCCCCTTTCCGTCGAGTGAATAATACATAAATTCCCACCTTACTGACGTGCAGATCGAAGTGAACACTGCTGGCACAATGTGGCTTGGTAGAATCGTCAACGTGTGAAGCATTTTCTGGCTTATCGCCAACCTTTGCCTCATTTTCTTTATACGGAGCCATCCTGCAAAATAAAACGCTGATTTATCATTATCGCACAGCAACGTGCCTCTTCCAACATGTGGTTGTGCACACGCCTTCGTTTCTCGCCAAAGAAATTACGGGAATAATAAGGGGAGAGGAGTGATGCAAGGAAGGGCAAATACGCCCCACCACGGGTTTCTACCAAAATCATTTGAGAAAAATTCAAAGCTGACAAAACAGCTTACCAAAGTACCAGCATTTTGATGCAGAATTCAAAAACAAAAAAAAAAAGAGTTGTGCCGAAAACGTGGAAGAAAGAGGACAATGGAGAAGTTACAAGGTGCACCAATGGCGAGAAGAAACGCGATGATGAAACAAACTTTGTATCAAAGTAAAGTATTTCATCCTGCTACAGCTACAGCTTAAGCCCTCACCCACTACAACCATACTTCCCTCGCTGTAGGGGGTGAAAGCATTCCGCAGTAGCCTAAATGATCATATACACACACACGCACACACACACACACACACACACACACACACACACACACAACCAGCCCCAGAGCAAATCCATGTAAAGCGAGCAACTACTGAAACCTGCGCCAACTAGGCCGCACAATAGGCACTCGTTTGTGGATCCCGATCTGAGCTGCGGAAGTCGTGGTACCAGGTGCACTTGTCCAGTTGAGGTTATAGGATGTCGCGTTCAGGGTTGTTAACTTCCCCTCGGTATCAAGTTTCATGTTGAGTATGAAGGTCCACACAGCCCCAATCCTCCGCGAAAACTCCACCCCGTCTCCAGTTCCTACCTCCAAGCAAGGCCTCTGCTTCTCCTCAGTCTACAACACCGACCTTGATATTTAAACCCCATTACCGACCTTCACCTCCCCTACCCTCCTGCCTCCACTGTCCTGCAACCCCTCCCCTAGCACTCTTTCAGTTACTGTGAATTTTGTCCTTCGCCCGGGCCGAACCGGCTTTTACCATGATAGCTACTAAAACCCGGTCCGGCCAGGCCGGAAGACGAATTGCGATGACGGGGGATTCGGGGTGGTTTAGGTCTCCGGGGGGTGGGGCCTTGCTTAAGGGGACAGATTAGAAACGAGGGCATGGTTAATGGGGATGTCCCCTCCGTTTCTAGAAATGCTGCTTCCTCCTGCTGTGCAAAAGGCCGAGATTTCGATTCCGTCTGTGGGACAACTGATTCGATGGTAAATTAGTACTGGCATATGCAGGGAAGTCTAGGCCACTCAAAAAACCCATAAATTTGGGGGCTATCAGCAATTTTGCTATTGCATTTGCCAGTTTCAGAATACTTTTGGATGTTAGCGTCTTCCACAGGAAGCAAATGCAGAAGCGGTTTTGACTGATTTTGATGAGGTGCCTAGACAGCCTTTCCTGTTCCCGCTGATCAGAGTTCTCCAGAGATGTTGGTCCCTGGTAAAAAAGATTCTGCATATGGCGAAAAGTTTCGTTTGGTATGTCGGTTGAAGTGGCCCTGAATTTGTTTGGGTTTTCCTTAAACCAGAAAACGTGAATTGTCAGACTGTTTGATAAAACGAATGTATGGAGGAATGTATAAA